CACCCTGGAACCTACTGTCTCTCTGGACTCCCAGTTATATGAGCCAGACATTTACCTACGTCACTGTGATCGGGGCACCTGTCCCTTGTAGCTGACATCATCCTGATGGACACCTCTCTCCATAAAAGGTCCCCTCCCTGTGCACCCTCAACAACTTTGTCAGAATCTGTCTCCGGAAACTGTTCATCCTTTTTATCCATGTTGCTTATCCTCTTCCGAAGAATATTTTTAGTCTCTGCTCAGTCCCTGTGGATGGGCTCACCTTGCCCTTTACCGTGCTCCTTACTGCCTCACTCAGCCATGACCGGCAGGGAGCCCAGCGGATGGTCAGAGTCCTGGGCATCCTGCTCGCCTGGGAGAGCCTCCGGGTTTCCCTCAGCTCCCACACGTCCCAGGCCTCCCAGGACTGTGCTCGTCGCAGCCGCTCTGCCAAGCCAGTGCCTCCAGGTCCATGGACCAGAAAAGAGCACGTGCAGAGGGTTAGGAATTGGGTGATGCTCTCACCTTAAGCATCTCCAGCCTCATGCAGGGGCCCTGCATTACCATTTCTCAAACAATGCTCTAAGACTGCCAGTATCAGAATCACCAGTATTGTGATCAGGTGCTTGTTCAAAGTGCAGATTCGGGATGTGGCTGCGTAAGCCTTATATTTCACAGCTGAATCCATGGTTATCTCCCACTCCGGATTCCTTCAAAGACAGCTCCGAGGCCAAGACAATGAGGGAGGGGGCTGGGATGGAGGCAAAACTATGAAGGCGAAGGGAAAAGTGGGAAGCGGGACAGAGACGCTGGACTGTTTCGGGGGCACCGGAGTGGAACGCCACCTAAAGGCAGACTCAAATTCTGTCAGCCATCGGTTTTCCAGTTTCTGTAACACTCACCTGTGCGCATCCACCACCAGCCTTTGTCTTCTGGTGTAACTTTGACGCGGGCATATCCAGCATCACAATGGAACCCCCCACAAATTGCAGGGTACCCATCACAAATGATCGGTCCAAACCGCAAAGGTCAGAGCAAGGTTTTATAAGACGGCAATCGAGCAGTCACAACACATTTGTGTGCTAGTTAGCAATTTCACAAGCCTGAGATAGATTTCAACCTCACCTCCCAAGTCCAAGCCACTTCCTATTACTCACTCCACGCTTTGCAGCTTTGTAAGTTCTTTCCCAGCCAGAAAGCGAAAGCGAACCACCCCTTCCCTCTCCTTTTGAAATACGTTTTACACAGTGACTGACATGACAGAGTGCAGACTGTACGGAAAATAATGGCTGCAATTTCTGACGGCTAACTTACCCTGAGTTGGGTTTAGGAAGAGTTTAGTTATTGCTGGGGGTGGGGGTGGGGGTGGGGGAGGATGTTTTGCTACCATTTTCTTTCTTTTTTGGAAAATAAGTGATGGATAGGAATTCAAAGTTTATTCTGGAATGCAGATCTATTCAAAATGGACCTTGGCAGGCCATTCCCTCAGACCCTCCTCATATTCACAGCAAATCCCCTTGTGCCTTTTATTACAACAAACCCACACATTCCCCTCCTTTCCTGCCCCCACTACCCCAATTCTCATTGCACATTTTGATGACAAGAACTTCATTTCTTGCTCACTAGAGGCAAATTAAATTAGTCGGAGGCCTGGGGTGCATGGCCGTCCCAGGTTCTTATATAATGGACTAAAAAAAAAAAAAAACCATGGTATATAGACTCTAATGCAGCAGTGGGCAAACTACGGCCCGCGGGCCGAATCCGGCCAGTTTGAAATGAATAAAACTAAAAAAAAAAAAAAGACCGTACCCTTGTATGTAATGATGTTTACTTTGAATTTATATTAGTTCACACAAACACTCCATCCATGCTTTTGTTCTGGCCCTCCGGTCCAGTTTAAGAACCCATTGTGGCCCTCGAGTCAAAAAGTTTGCCCACCCCTGCTAATGGGTGGATCTATTTTTTTATCCTAGTTTTTAAATTACATTAGAGACACCACATAGAGTCAACTTATAATGCATGGGATGTTTATATTAGAACTCAAAGGTTAGGTGTTGGAATCTGGGCCTTCTGGTCACCAACATTTCGCCCATCTCTTATTCTCTAGTTGAATGGCTCCCAAAGTGGCTGTGTATCAGGATTAATTAAGAGTTTCTTAAAAATGCAGATTTTCTGTCGCAACTCAAATGTAACAAATCTAACTCTCTGGAGTTCCATTTTCTTTCTTTTTCTTTTTTTAAAATATATATTTTATTGATTTCAGAGAGGAAGGGAGAGGGAGAGAGAGATTGAAACATCAACGATGAGAGAAAAACCATTGATTGGCTGCCTCCTGCACATCCCTCACTGGGGATCGAGCCCACAACCCAGGCATGTGCCTGATCAGGAATTGAACTGTGACCTCCAGGTTCATAGGTCAATGCTCCACCACTGAGCCATGCCAGCCGGGCTCTTTTCTTTTTCTTTATTTCCTTCTCCTTCTCCTTCTTCTCTCGCTCTCTTTTTTACAAGTTCCCTGTGTGTTTCTCACACAGCCACCAGGGACCCATTTACGGAAGACATTTGGGAACCACTTTTCGGGTCCAGGAGTTCTTGAGCTTGTGTGTGCATCAGAAGCACCTGGAGGCCTTACTAACATACAGACTGAACCCCCAGAGTTTCTGAGCCAATGTCTGAAATGGAGAATTTGCATTTCTAATGAGTTTCTAGGTAATCTGATCCTGCTGGTCTGGGGAGAGAGAACCCAGGGCTTTTACCCTGTTACTTGTGCACATATTAGTATTCATTAGCATTTCCATTATGTGGCTAAGGGGAAGAGCTGAACATCACACTCACCTGAGAGCTTTACTTTTTTTAACATTCAATTATTGGGGTTAAACTTGCACTTCATCCCAGATCTACTGAATCAACACCACTAGGAAGCCCTAGGAATTTTATTGTTATGAGTTATGCAGAAGATTCTGATTTATTACAAAGACTTGAAACATTGCCTTATATAAAAAAGTGTTTGTTGTTTGTCTAAAATTCAGGTTCAATGGCTCATTCCATGTCTTTATTTGGAAATCTGGCACCTGAACTTACTAGGCTATCTTTGCCAGGAGTGAGTTTTCTCTGTATGTTCCCTCTTTTGCTCAACATAGCTCTAGTTTAAATGCTTATGGAAGTGGTGGTGAGTAGTGAAATCCATGCAAACACAATGTGTGGGGGTGAAGAAGAGAAAATTAAGATGTTTCCTCAGGAAAGAAAACACACACACAAAGGAAAATTCATTAATCTAGACAGCAGAAACACAGTCAGAAAGAAAATGTCTGCTAATGGTTTTTCATCAGACAATTCGTCAATTACACAGTCAAAAGAAACCCTGAGGAATAAGAAGACAGCAAAGATGCTATTAAACTGTTCCAAGTGAAGCCATATATAATTAATTTCAAACAAGCACAGCTACAAAAACTCAAATACTTCAAGGTGCTGAGTGAGAGGCGGATAAATCTGTATCAGGCTTCAAAACGACGCTTCCAGGTGAGTCTACTATTCAACCATAAGCAGGGAGATAATGATGTCTGCCTCCTCCCTGTTTTATTGGAGGCTGAAGAGCCTTAAGTTGAGACCCTCCCATTGCATCAAAGAGAAGAAAAAACAAGCACACAGACCAGCCCCTGACATCAGCACATTACTACTAAGAGACTGAATCACATGAGTGGGACAAACAAAACAGAGAAGAAAAATGCACTGATGCAGAAGACAGAGAAAATAAGGAAAGTGATCTGGCAAGCCCTTCCCAGGCTGAGTAACCACCATGAGCATCACAGGCTCTGCAAAGCAAGCAGCTTTCTCCCAATGCAGTTTTACCATTTCACAGGTTAGAGGTCGGCGCTTTTCCTGTAAAGGACAAGGCAGTACATCTTCTAGACTTAGTTGGTCAGACAATATGGAAGTGAAAAGACATGGCTGTGTTCCAATAAAACTTTATTCACAAAAATAGGTAGTTGATATGGACTAAATGTTTGTGCCCTCCACCCCAATTCATATGTTGAATACCTAATGTGATGGTATTTGGATGTGGGACCTTTGAGAGATAATTAGGTCATGAATGTAGAGCCCTCATGAATGGATTAGTGCCCTCATAAGGGAATGCAGGTAATGGAGCTCTCTCCCTGCTTTCTGCCCTGAGATCATACAAATAGATGGTGTTCTGCAAACCATGATGAGGGCCCTCATCAGACACAATCTGCTGACACCTTGATCTTGGACTTTCTAGCACCTAGAACTGTGAGAATTAAATGTTTTTGTTTCAGTCATTTAATTAAAAGTATATTTGTTACAGCAGTCTAGCAGACTAAGAACAGTGAGGCATATTTGGCCCATGGGCCATAATTTACCAACCCTCATCATAGGTGAGTGTGCATGGCAAGGATAGTATCATTAATGGATACTATGGAGCACTGGGTGTCCTAACAGTGGATGTTCAATAAAACACAAAGACTCCATCAACTCATCACTATGCATACAAGGGCAGAGTGTTTAATGATCACCCCAAAGTGTAAAGGCAGGAAATCAGGATTCTAGGAATAAAAAGAAGGTGCTTATTTGAAATTCTGAGACTGTTCAAAATGGGAAAGAGAAGGAGATACGGGGACACAATGTTTTAGGATGTTTTTAGAAAGTTTTCTTGGTGGCCCTGCCAGAGAGAAGCTGACTATGGGGAAGAGGGACCGTCTTGCTAGGTTCTCTGACTTTAATCTGCTACTCCTGAGGGTTCATCGTGTGATAAGGTATCATCCTCCTTCATCAGGGAGGTTTCCTGACCTTCTAAATTCATATACTTTGCTTTTAGCATCCTAAGAAGTGTACTTCCCCAAAAAGAAAATACGAAGTCACTTTGGCATGAAGTTTTATAGTTTAAGCCAGAAAATATCCCCCAGGGTGTGTGTAAAGCATAACTTCAGTGACCTCCTTTATGACACTGGTAAATGTGTTTCATCTGAGATCTTCATGTCAGTCAGGCAACACCCAAGCATGCATTTTACTCTGCATAATTTAAAAGCTTTATTCTCCTCCACACACACACACAATTAGCATACATTGCTTTTTCATCGGGGGAAGGGTTAAACTTCCCAGAGACACTCTGAGCTAATCACAGAAAGAGAAGATCTGACCCAGCAGCTTCTGAAAGAGTCAGTGAGGTCAAGGAGTCCTTTCAGCCAAAGGCCTGGTCAGGTGGGGACAACATAGGCTACTACAGCCTGTCCATTGTGGGTGCTGGCAGGATCCTTCCTGCAAAAGTGACAAAATGCAGCCTCTTTGACCAGGAAGCCTGGAAGCCAGAAAATGCCCTCAGCCCGGGCCAAATTCCCTTCCTGAATCCCATGGCCTCATGCAAGAGCGTTTTAACCAAGCAAACAACTGTCTTCTGCTTTGAGTCCAATGTGTACTCTTCACCAACTGCAAGATTGCTCTTCATTCAAAAGTTCGCTGTTTACACAGTTTTTAGTTTGTGCGTCAGAGGGCTGGGCTCTGCCTTTCCTAGGAATGGCGGCATCATATCAACGGAAGCATGAAAACCCAGGCAAGCGCTGGCAGGCAGAGCGTGTGGGCACTGCTCCCAGACGTTCTCTGAGCGTGCATTACGGCGAAGACCGCGTTAGTGTGGTTGGTGGGTAATTCCACATTGCAGATCATTCCTTCACAGCACGACCTACACTCCTGTTACAAAAGGAAGAGCAGAGGGAGATGAGAGAATGAATAGCAGGAAGAAGAGGGAAGGGTGAAACGAAAAAACAAAACAAAACAAAAGCTTCTGGATCTCTAGCTGAGGACAGACAGAATGAGAGTTGGATAACCAGTCTATCAGCCACCCAGGCCCTTGGGTAGCCTTCCTTCCACTGACCTGAAAGTAAGGAACATCTGGGGAATCTTTTCTTAACCATGTTTTATCTACACCAGCCCAAGCATAAGCATGGGAAAGAAGAGGAAGGGCAACTGAATAAGACTGTTTGATTGAGTCAACAAATCTTCTGAAGGCTTGTAAGGGAAAACACTGAAACAAAAATGAAAGCTAGAAACATCTTGGATTGCCCATTGATTTTCTTTCTCAGTACTCCTTGTTAGGGGATAATAATGCCCCTCTATTGTCTATAGAACACCTGATTACTATCATTACAACAGCAATGACTTGCTAATTATGGTTGCTGAGCGATGAAAACTGCTTGCTCCCTGATAGCACAAGGTGTTTTCAGGGGAAGCCATCACCTGCCTTAATACCCGGTAAAATGCCTCAACCTTATAATCCTCGCCATTCATAGAGGCTTCCAGGATGGCTAGGGAAGATAAAGACAGTGACTCTTAAGTATCTTTATCAGTGCTTTTTAACGTAGGCTGCACATCAGAATCTCCTTGAGGAACTTAAAACAAAACAAAAAAACATCCTGAGGCCCAGGACCCCACCCTGAGGTTTTGTCTCAGTTGGCCTGGGATGGCCCCTCCCACCACCACCATGGCTTAGACAAGCTCCCCAGGAGACTCTCCCTGCAGCCAGAGCTAGAAGCCACTTTTCTGTACAGACAGGCTAAGTCAAGTTCTAAGACCTCATGAAATTAACATACTCTCAAGTAATTTTTTCTCAAGCATTTTAGGGTTCCAGACATATAAAAGAGTAAAATGCTCACTTAGGATGTTAGAATGAGAAAATGAGAGAGCTCTATCAATCTAAAATGTATCTATAGTTCATCATATTAAACTGAGGTTAATCTTTCAGACTCTTGCTTCCTCATCTAAGCAGAGCTAGTGGGTGAGAAGGTGCCACCATTTTCCTCTTTCCACCTTCCAGCTGCCCTGTCCAGTCTTCTTGGTGATTTTTGGCCATTAGCAAAATAGGTGAGCTGAGCTCTGTAGCACTTGTCCTTCTCTCAGGGATGGTTTATTCTTGGGCTTCCAGACACGACTTCAGACAATTCACCCAAAGTCCAAGGTCTAGGGTCTAGCCCTGGAGTCTGGGAACTATCATTCGCTTTTAGTAACATTATTTTTTTGTTGAAGAACAGAAAGTCTTCAACTTCTCTTAGGTCTCCATTGCATCACTGTATAAACAGGTTCAACATATTACTTATCCTTCCTGCCTCTCCATGACATATAACTAGCCATCACTAGCAAGACACCTTAGGGCAGTAACTCCACACACACACACGCGCACACTCACATGCACACGCACACTCCTTACTGTATGTTCAGAATCTCGGCTGTGGTGGCAGCCAACTGAATGACATTCACTTCTGGAGGCGCACTTTTTGGTGATGGATGTACTTCTTCCATGACTGGTAAAGTGATGAACTGTCAAACAGTACTGTGTGTCTAGGCAGGAGGAAAAGAAAAGACGACTTCATTTTTCACATTGCAAAAGACACTCAACAATCACTTCAGAAATGACTAAGATGCAGGATGATCCTCAGGTTTCTAGGCAAGAAATACAATAGCAGAGATTTCTAGAGTTTCTAGGTGGTATTTTTTTAAAACGCATTCACTTTTGGCCCAGACAGCATGGCTCAGTGGTTGAGTGTCAGCCTATGAACCAGGAGGTCACAATTTGATTTCCCGCCATGGCACATGTCTGGGTTGTGGGCTCAATCCCCAGTGTGGGGGGTACAGGAGGCAGCCGATCAATGGTTCTCTCATCACTGATATTTCTATCTCTCTTTCCCTCTTCCTTCTTCTCAATAGTGTGTGTGTGTGTGTGTGTGTGTGTGTGTGTGTGTGTGTGTATATATATATATATATATATATATATATATATATATAAATACATTCATTTTTAAGCACTCGTGCATTTTTAAAATGAATATGAAACGGGCACCTATCCTTTGGTGCCAGCTAGAACAGAAAAAACTGGACAAGCTTTTCATCAAAACCATAGGTTTGCCCATTTCATATGAAAGTGTCAGTATCTGTCTCTGCCTCATCTCTCTCTCTCTCTGAAGCACATGTTCTATGCCTAAAATAAAGTGGAAAATGTGAATTTAAAATGCAATGGATCAGAATACTCTGGTTGCATTATTCAACATTTGATACATTAATAGGCCGGGTGGAATGAAAAGCAGGTGCTTCAAAGTACACATCAAGACCACCTTCCTTACTCAAAGTATTCCTATGTTCTCTTCTTCTTTAATTAACTGTTACTTTATCTGTCCCCTTCCCCCACTTTATAGCTAACCCATTTCTACATGGACCTATCCTTATAGCTTTAATCACTCACATCTTATTACTTTGGGTTCTTTAAAGAGTGATTTCACTCACTATTCCAGAACATTCCACTTTAGTTCTGTAACTCTTCTATAGTTACTTCAGGCCAGTAAAATGCTGTTTTGTTTATTGAGAAGGGACTACAACAGCAACGTCATACAATGAGGGGGAAATATTTGACTAAAGTTGAGAATACTGGACCTATGAAATTGCTTTTGTCATAAGCAAGCAAGCCACATTAGCACCTTTGAGGTAATTTTCTTTTTTTACAATGTTTACTATTATTTAAAAAAAATATTGAGTTAACAATGGTTCTTAACATTATGTAAATTTCAGGTGTACAATATTATCATTTGACATCTGTATACTTCACTGTGTGCTCACCATGAAAAGTCTAGTTTCCTTCCGTTAGCATATATTTGAGCCCCTTTACCCAATTTGCCCTCCCTCCTTCCCTCTAGTAACCACCCATCTGTTGTATCCATGACTTTATCTTTGTTTTGTTTTGTTTTGTTACTTTGTTTGTTACTTTTTGGTTTTATATTCCATATATGAATAAAATCATGTGTTTTTTGTTCTTTTCCATCTGATTTATTTCACTTCGCACAATACCCTCAAGAAATATTGGCAATATTTCAAAATTTCTATCTTTCTTATGGCTGAGTACTTTTCCATTGCATATATGCACCACTCTTCTTTAACCACTCGTCTGTCAGTGGACACTTAGGTTGCTTTCATAGCTTGGCTATTGTAAATAATGCTGTAATGAACATGGAGGTGCATTTATCTTTACAAATTAGTGTTTTCATATTCTTCAGATAAGTACCCAGAAGAGGAATTGCTGGATCCTATGGTAGTTCTAGTCTTAATTTTTTGAAGAACCTCCATACTGTTTTCCATCATGGCTATACCTGTTTACAATGAATGAGGGTTCCTTTTTCTCCACATCTTTTAAAATACTTATCATTTCTTATATTATTGATAATAACCATTCTAACAGGAGTGAGGTGATATCTCATTGTGATTTTGATTTACATTTACATTATAGATAGTGAAGTTGAGCATCTTTTCAGATATCTGTTGGCTATTTGTATGTCTTCTTGGGAGAAGTGTTTATTCGGCTCCTCTGCCAATTTTTTAATTGGATTTTTGTTGTTGTTGTTGTTGAAATGTATGAGTTCTTTATATTTTTTTTCTGTTCATCAGATTATTTATTCATTTTATTTTTAGTTTCACTTGTTGATAGATGTGTATTTGTTTAATACTATCCCCTTATAGGAAATATCATTTGCAAATATCTTCTTCCATTTGGTTTGCTGCCTTTTTGTTTTGTTGATTGTTTCCTTTGTTGTGCAGAAACTGTTTAGGTTGATGTAGTCCCATTTGTTTATTATTGCTTTTGTTTTCCTTGCTTTTGGAGTAAAATATGCAAACACACCCATAAGACCAATGTCCATAAACTTAGTTTTTCTTTTTTATATTTTATTGCTTCATGTCTTGCAATCAAGTTTTTAATCCATTTTGAGTTAATTTTTGTGTATGGTGTAAGTTTCATTCTTTTGCATATAACTGTCTAGTTTTTCCAATACCATTTATTGAAAAAACTTTCCTTTCTTAATTGTATATCCTTTTCTCCTTTGTCATAAGTTATTTGACCACATTTATAAGGGTTTATTTCTGGGCTCTCAATTCTGTTTCATTGGTCTGTATGTCAGTTTTTCTGTAAGTACTATACCATACTGTTTTGATTACTACAGCTTTCTAGTACAGTTTGAAATCCGGGAGTATGATACCTCTGGCTTTGTTCTTTTTTTCTCAGAGTTGCTTTTGCTATCCAGGGTCTTTTGTGGTTCCACAGAAATGTAAAGATTTTTTTGGTTCTATTTCTGTGAAAATGCCATTGGGATTTCGATAGGGATTGCACTAAATATGTAAATTGCTTTAGGTTCATTTTCCTTTTAGTAAATTATGATAATAAGTGCCTTGGCATTTTGACAGGGTTGTTGTAAGATTTAATTAATAACAACAATAGTGAACACATATTGAGAGGGTACCACCAGCCAGATACTCTTCTTACATGTATTCACTCATTCAATCCTAGAGTAAGTCTTAAGATAAGTCATATTAATATACTCATGTTACAGATAAAATAAAATAAAAGCCTGAAGCACAGTTTCTTGTCCACAGTCACATAGGTAGAAAGTGGTGGGAGGTAGGATTCTAACCTAGGCAGTTTTCCAAGGTTTGTGCTCTTAACCAGACACGATTCTGCCTCTCGGTATACTTAATGTCAAACTAGATGGTGCTGTAACATGCTCAACAAGAATAGCTGACTTATGGTTTCAGAAGGAAAGGGAACCACCAAATGTTTTGGAAAGGCATTTCAACTTCACTCCAAACAAAGAATTGAAAACTGGTAGCTGCATGTGTTCATATGAAATGTCACACATGTTAAAGCAGCCCTAGAAAGTCAGAATAAAAGCCAGGGTAAATAAAATAAGAAATGTCATTCTTGTCATATCCTGTTACACAGAGAACCTCTCTTCACAACACCAACAGACCACAGAAGTAAAGCGGTGAGGTGAAAAGGAAACCTGAGATGACAAAGAACAATAGCTGCAGGCCCGATGGCCCCAAGAAATGGTTGACTATCATTTCCCTAAATAATGACAAACGGAAAAGTAAGAAATGATACCCTCACTTAGAATTCCAGATGGTTAGCATCTTGCGGCTGGACTGGCACAGTCACGAATGCACTGGCATGCATGCGGGAATGCAGGGTCATTCCCTGTCACCCTCCGGTTCCCAGGGTGGATGTGGAAGAGCCGACTGTCTTCCCACTTCCAACACTGCTGTTTTCTTGGTGGTGGAAAGCAGCAGCTTCCCCCTTTTTTTCACATCTTTCAACAGATAAAACCCAGAAATACCCATGTATGATCCCATTAAAATGGATTTGATTAATTAATGACAAATCGGAGCATTATGCACAGACCTAGTAGGAACTGTTTTGGGGCAATTCAAAAGAAGAAAGAAAACAGTTTCCAATGAGTTAGGCACAACAGGATGGACACCAATGCCCCAATTTACACTGTTCTAACCCGTAACGCCCAGTTTTCAGGAGGCTTTAAAGCAAAGAGTTAAAGAATAACACCACCCTCAGAAATAAGGTAGTGAAGGGAGGCGCTGGGCATCCTCAAACACTCTGCGATAATGGAGATGAATTTCTGCAAAAAAAAAAAAAATGTGGAAACAAGTCCCCAAATGTGTACACCCCGTGTGCACATGTACTCATAAACACACACAGTTTAAGGTGGATTGCTCTACAGAAATGTAAAAGAACCCCAACAAAAAATATTTTGGTTATTGATTATTCTTGAAAAGAAATAATGAAAAATGCCGCCCAAGTATATGTCATAATGACTTGTGCTAATTTATGGCATAAGATTCTCCAGCAGCATTAAGGTCTTTAGTGTGTACTATTTATCTGGAAGAGGTAAGTCTATTTCACTGCTATATATAATTTGATGCAGAAATTTCCAAAAGATTCAAGATAATAGTAGACCGAAACTAGTCATCTCTAATTCTGGAAGAATTTGTTTGTTTTCTTTCGCCTTTTACGTTTGCAAAACTAAAAAACAAAACACACACACACACACACACACACACACACACACACACACACACACCAAAACAAAACAAAACAAAACAAAACAAAACAAAACAAAAAAACCGTACTTCTAAAATCTAACAGTCTGATCTCCTTATAGCTGTAAGTAGTTTCTCAATTCCCAATCATCCATCAGACATCCTGTCTGCTTTACCTCCACATTTGTATATCATTCAACCTCTTGCCCCCTCCACTCCTACCACCCTGGTCCAAGTCACCATCTTCTCCACCTGAAGATAATGAAATACCCTATTTGGTGTCCCCTTCTACTCTTGTCCCAAACCATCCTTTCTCCACACAACAAACAGCAATATTTTAGAACGAAACTAGCATCTTGTATTCCCTAGTTTAAAACCCCTCTATAAGCTTCCTATCATATTTACAATAAAATCCAAACTCTTTATTAGAGAAAGAAGGTCCTGTGTGTGTCCCAGTCCTTACCACCTCAACATTCTTCCACTAAGCCTCACTGGCTAGCCTTCTCCCTGTTCACTGAAGAGGCCAAATCTTGCCTCTTGTAGCCTTTGCATTTGCTGTTCCCTCTTATTACCATGCTATTCCCACAGATGTCCATGTAGCTTGCTTGTTTTGGTCATTCAGGTCTTCTTTCAAATGTACACTCCTCGGAGAAGACTCCCTGACTATCTATTCAAAGGCATCCATTCATTCTGTCAACAAATACTTACTGAGTGCCTAATATGGGCCAGGCACTGGATTAAACTAAGGCTATATCAGTGAACAAAACGAACTAATAATATAAAACATTTGTCAAATGAATAAAAGACTTTCCCAACCATCATTGTATCTCAAGAATACAAAACCTTTCCTTTGCTTTAGCCCAGCAGTTCTCAGCCTTTGAGTCGCGACCCCTTTGGTGGTCGATCGACCTTTTCACAGGGGTCGCCTAAGACCATCCTGCATATCAGATATTTACATTATGATTCATAACAGTAACAACATTACAGTTATGAAGTAGCAACGAAAATAATTTTATGGTTGGGTCACAACATGAGGAACTGTATTTAAAGGGCCAGAAGGTTGAGAACCACTGCTTTAGCTAGTAAGTATGACTTTTCTGGAGATATCAAGCATTTCTGAAATTCTTAGAATGCCTTAGTCAACATTGTAGTCTATTTTTTCTCCTGAGTAAATACTATTTAAGAAATCCTTTCTCAAGTAACACACAACTACAAATTGAGGCTACACCATCAGTTTCCAAGTGTTCTCAGAGTAGTCTAATGTCACAATGGTCTCTTAAGAGAAATCTCTAATTTCTATAGAACATCAACCTGTTGGCTTATCAAGAGACACCTAAATGAGATGTGATCCCAAAGGAGTCTCCCAAACTCAGCACACTTACTTTGTGGACACCACTTGTCTTCTGCCCATCGATTGCAGTTGTAATTATCTCCTGCATTTTCACAGGTAAAACACTTGAAGCTGTTTGGAAATGGTGTAGCTTTAAAGAAAAATGCACAGTGAAAAGACAAACATTTTTAACACAAATATGGCAAAAAAAAAATGAGCAACTTTTATAAGATTAGACAAAATTTACAAGCCATTATACTTAGAATTTCTGTTTCTAGGGAGCTAGACTTAACTGCCAAACTCTGGGGCAATTTCTTTATTCCCCTTTCTTTAAATATTTCACCTATAAATATCTATTGAAGAGTAATAAAAATCATTCCACAAGCCACTTTGAAATATTCATGGTATTGTTCTATAATAATTTACAACTTGGGAATAATGAGGATTAAGGGGATATGGAGATGGGTAAGGGTGGAGGCAGCATTGGAGCCAATAATTTGATATGGTTTCATTCCTGAAAAGAACTGGAGTCAGATTAACCTGAGCTTGAACTCTTCCCTTCCCACTAATTAGTTGCATCATTTTTAACTTCAAAGTAATAATACTATACATAGTAATAGTAACAATAAAGGTCCCCATGACTTGCAGAGGTATAGTGAAAATTGAACAAGTGGTGGCAAGAAAAAAAATATCTAATGGAGTCCCCGGCACATCAAATCATGCTGGTTTCCAACCACATGTGCTTCCGTTACAGCTGCATTTAACCGGAATCAAACAATCTCATTTGTATATGTCAGTTATTGCATTAGACCTCAACTAGGAATGGAACATTTAATACAAGGATGATAGTAATTCTCAGACCCTATGCTCAGGCCAGGGTGTTATGGAAAGAAGGAATTAGGAGCTGCTGGCAGTCTGGTTTGAGAGCAACTAGTATATTCATTTTCCTTTTTTGTCTTTATGCTTTTTTCCTATCTTTTATCTTGTTATTTTCATGGGCACAAAATGAAAAGTACAATAAATTTAACATTTTTCTATAAGCCAGTGTATAAAGCCCTGTGTGAAACTTTCACCTCAAACCATCCTAGTAACCTGACCACAGTTGGGATGATAATTAGAAAGCAGCGGGTACTGAAGATACAGGAGAGGATAAATATTGATGCATAAAACAAGAGTGACATACCAAAGGTGAAAGTTCAGAGGACATGAAATTAAGTATTACAAATACATTTCAGTTTTGCCTATGTATAAAAGTGAATTAGATAGGCAAAAAAGAAGTAATGAAATTCATTTTTGTCTATTAAAGCAGTACAGTTTTAAAATTACTAACACTTCAGTAACAAAAGGGAAAGGGTTAAGAAGTATAAATTGCTAGTTATAAAAAGGCACAGGGATGTAAAGTACAGCATAGGATATATCCTATATAATAAAAGCCTAACACACCAAATGTCTGGTCGTCTGGTGGTCTGTTCAACCAATCAAAGCGTAATATGCGAATGATATGCTAAGGCTGCTCAACCGCTTGCTATGATGTACACTGACCACCAGGATGCAGATAGTCAACCAGTCGAACAGTCGCTATGACATGCACTAACCACCAGGGGGTAGACAGTCGACTGGTCGATCAGTTGCTATGATGTGCACTGACCACCAGAGGACAGACATTCCGACCGGTAGGTTAGCTTGCTGCTGGGGTCCAGCTGATTGGGACTGAGGGAGATGGGCCAGACATGCCCTGGACTCCTCCTATGGTCCCGCCCTGGCTGGTCAACCTCCCATGTCCCTCCCCAGCCCTGATCGTGCACCAGTGGGGTCCCTTGTCCTGGCCTGCACCCTCTCACAATCTGGGCTGAGGGATCCTCCCTGCAAGTGCACAAATTTGGTGTACCCAGCCTCTAGTAGTCAGTAATATTCTAATAACTATGTGTGGTGTCAGATGAGTACTAGACATATTGGGGGATCACTTCATAAGTAATATAAATGTCTAACCACTAAGCGTATACCTGAAACCAATATAATATTGTATGTCAACTGTAATAGAAATTTTTCTTAAAATCTAAAAACAAAATATTACTGCTTAATGCTGGTGAATGAATGTCCTGAATTATAAAAAAGTCCAAAGTGGAAATCAATAATGACACAGGCTCTCTTTAGAAGTTGTGTAAAGACTGTGGTTCCCGAGCCTGGCTGTGTTTCTATAGTATCCGGAGAGCTATTTTAAAAGAAGAGGGAGGGGAACAAGAAAAGAAAAATATACTTTATAGCCTACCCTCTTGACTATTGAATCTCTGGGAAAGGGACCCAGGAATGTTTAGTTTTAAAGGCATTTATCATGATTCTGATACTCTTTCAGGTGTGGGAACCACAGGCATTCACATTTCTACCAACAAATTTTATCTATAACAACCTCTCTCTAATAAAGTATATCAGAGAAATAGATAAGTTTTACTTGTCTGAAGAGAGAGAAAGGAGGGAAGATGACATATGTATACAAGCACATATGCACACACATATATGTATATCCTATCTAATAAAAGACAAAAGGGTAATTGACCGTACCTTCGCTACGCTTCCCATTGGCTAATCAGGGTGATATGCAAATTAACCGCCAACAAAGATGGCGGTTAATTTGCATACGTAAGCTCCAAGCAGTGGAGTGAAGCCAAACGGCCCCAAAGTGGCTGAGCAGCAAGGCCTCACAGCCCCGGGATCGGCAGAGCAGCGAGGCCTCACGGCCCCGGGATCAGCGGAGCAGCGAAGCCTGATGGCTGGGGGGGCTCTGGCCAGAGCCCAGCCAGAGCGAAGGCCTGGGTCCTGGGTGCCAGAAGAAAACTGGTGCCAGCAGCCAAGGGAAGGGAAGGCCTATTGCATGAATCTCTTCATGCAACAGGCCTCTAGTAAAAATATAAGTAATCATATAGATAAGATATGCTATTTGTTTATTTTTAAATTATTAGTGGGAAAGCTGAGTTTTACAGCCTTTCCTAACTGTGCATAATATTCATGAAAGTCCAAGTATATTTCCTCCAAATTTTACACATACTAATCTGTTTTCAAGACTGTTAATGGTCATTGAGCCCTGGCCAGGTGGCTCAGTTGGTTGGAATCTTGTCCAGTACAACAAAAGGTTGTGGGTTTGATCACCTAGTTGGGGCAGGTATGGGAGGCAACTGATCGCTGTTTCTCTCACACATTGATGTTTCTTTCCCTCTCTCTCCCCCTTCCTCTCTCTCTCTAAAAGTCAATAAAATAAACACATATCCCCAGGTGAGGATTAAAAAACAAATTGTTAATGGCAATTAATAGAATATATCATTGATGCAGAAACTTCCTTCAGCCAATATCCTCCTCCAGTGAAGAGAGGAACAAAGAACACTGAACTTCCTCTGCCATTCTTAGGCACAGTGCTCAAGAGATTATCTTAAACAAGAACCCTTTTGAGACTTCAGCAGGAAGCCAAAGCATTTTAAAGAAATGGAGAGAATGTCAGAAGTAGTGAAGACTTTCTGTCTTATTCTAGGTACAAACCAAATGGTCTCGAAAAGGCAAAGTTACTATAGGTGGAAACAGGAACTTCAAATGGGCATTCTGGCCCCACAGACATGACCTATGATGGTAACCACTACTTACGGTCAAGAGGAGGCCTCACGTTATAGAAGTTGATGTTCTTGGCAAAGGCCCGGTTTTCTGAGAAGATAAAGATCTGGACAACTGCTACAGCTAGAGCATGACAGAAGAGCAGCATTCTGACCTTGCGTCTGGGCAAGTCCAAAACCCATATATCTACAATGAAAAGAGAGACTAGTTGAGTTTATATGCATTTTACATGTCAATAGGAATACATTTTGCTTCTCTTTGGAAAGCTTAATTATTCAAATATATTGAACCATCTACCTGTTCTGTAGGGCCAGTGCCTATGTGGGAACTGTATTCTTTCTGATCAGATGAAAGTTAAGCAATGACTGCCTTCTACTGGTCAGGCCTCTGCACTAGCCAGTTGAGTTTTAGCAGGACATCCAGTGGCCATTCGGGTTCCAGAAGAACAAGCAGCCAGTACTGGCCTGGCTGCACCCCCCTCCCCATTCCCCCATTCCCACCCCCCCACCCCCGACCCAACACTGCCTCAGGCTGGCCCACTTCACTTCCTGCTGAATCACCTCACTTCCTAACAACCACAGTTTGGAGACTTGTTCAGCTGAAGTTACTGAACCGCTTATCTGTCCATTCCATTCCTTGAGTAAACACTTACATTCGAGAAATTTTGCAACTCTTTCAAAACCTGGAGGAAATAATAAAAATTGAAGCAGTAGGAAGGACAGTGGGTAAAAGGACAATGAGTCTGAGACATAGTGTCTGCTGGATCCCAGGGCACACAGGCGGTGAGAAGAGAAACAAGAATCACTGTGAAATGCCATCCCGCCAGTTTCTGTCACGTTGGGTACAAAGAGAAGCTGTCAGAGGTTCTAGAGAAACATAATTACAGTTTTTGAACAGCTGAAAACCATATCATGTTAGTCCTGCTCACTGCTTTCACGGACTTAAAGTAGGCAGGGCTGAAACCCAACAAAACAGCAGGCACGCTCAAAGCACTGAGTAAAATATATTTTTATTGATTTTTAGAGAGAAAGGAAGGGGGGGAGGAGAGAGAGAGAGAGAGAGAGAGAGAGAGAGAGAGAGAGAGAGAGAGAGAGAGAGACATTGATGTGAGAGCAAAACATCCATCGCTGCCCTCTGTATGCCCCCATCAGGGGCATGTTCCCTTACTGGGAATTGAACCAGCAACACTTTGGTGCACAGGACAAGGCCTAACCAACTGAACCACACTGGGCAGGGAAAAATACATTGATTTTTAAGCTCCATAGGTTCTGCCCTCTAGAAGCAGACCTGATAGTAAAACAATCTTCAGGATTAACGCTCAGAACCTACAACAGCACCACTGACAGGTTCTCTTTGACGGGGGAGGGGTGGGGCAGCAGAAAAAGCATGTAACTTGGAATGCAGAGACTTTTGTTCAGGTGCTGGCTCTGCTATTTATTAGCTGCCTGACCTAGGCAAGCTCTTTAAATTCTATTAACTTCAATTTCCTCATCTGTAAAGTGGCTTAATAACATCCGCCCTGCCCACTCACATGGGGAATTGTGAGCGTCAGCCAGGCTCAGGTAGGATCACACAGGATCGAGTATGTAAGAGCACTTGTAATACAAGTTCTGTGACAATGCTGGAATCTTAGAGTTCAGTAATACTGGCTGAACTCATTTTCCAATCAACTGGTTTCAGTGGGTATAGAGTTTTTCAAATAAAAAAGTTTGTTCTCCACATATATGGGCAAAATTCTTTACATGGATCTTTTGTTTGAAGTCGGTGTAACGATGTGTGGATTTTAGAGTTTTATTTCCCCCTCTTGTGTTGTGAGTATATTGGTTTTGCATGTGTGGCTAAAAATGCCTACTCTTGGATATGGAACTGATTATTAGAGAAAATGTAGCCACACCATCATCTCATTCCAAGTCCCTAAGGAAGCATTCAGGGCTGAAAAAACAAAACTGGTAAGTTTCACAAAACAGTAGTGCTAAACTTTATACACCACATTTCAGCTCAGTAAAGAATTGGACCTAGTGACATATACACATATACATAATTCCACCCTGGTTCATTTTAGAAACTAAAATTGATCTTTCACAGTTATTAGATTTCTAAAACCCATTCTTATGCCCTTTCTGAAGAAACATACATTTAGCCAACTATTTTATACCTTACAGACGAGTGGGTATATTGATACAAATTCTGCTTCTCCTCTTTACCTCTCTGAGTTGGACTATTCTGTATTTATTATGAATCTGTGGCCAAGTAATGCATATCCCCAAGTAATGGAAGACCCTTTGAGTCAGGGAGGAGGTCTAATACATCCTTCACAAATTTCAAAATGACTGCGTACCAAGAGTAATCCAAAGTGTTCTTATAATTTGAGACGATGCCTACGATCATCTAAGATCATAGATGTCACTACATTCAATTGTCTACATTCAATTCCCTTTTGCAACACTAACCAACTATGGGACCTTGGGCAAGTTGCTTAAGTTCTCCAAGCCTCAGCTTCCCCATCCGTAGAGAAGGCATAAGGACAGGACCTACCTCAGTGAAGAAGTGAGGACAGAAGCGAGGACGGAATGACACCATGTGGATGAAGCACTCAGCCGAGTGCTGGGCACATGTTAAAGGTGTATGTACCAAGCACTTCTCCTAGGTGGTAAAGCGCACTGGCTCAAAGTCCTACTTCCAAGCCTACTATCTATGTAGTCTCAAGCAAGTTCCTTAATCTCCCTGTACCACCATTTCTGCATCTATAAAATGGAAGTAATAGTAATACCTACCCCATAGGGTTGTAGAAATTAAATGAGTTAATACATGTGAAGCACTTGAACTAAATTATCTATGTGCTCAGCATTTTGCTACTTCTTACTAAGTAAACATTTAGTATTATGAAAAAATCCCCACACCACTTGAAATCACAAGTCAGAACCCCTGGTTTTCCTCATGTAATTTCAGTGTGAGACAAAGGCCCATGCATTCATTCATTCAGCATGCTATTATTGACACCTCAGGCAGAACAGATACTTTTTTAAAATAATTTCTTTATTGATTAAGTTATTACATATGTGTCCTTATCCCCACAAGAACAGGTATTTTTATTCACTGGATCCCCAACAAGGTCATTGCTCTCGTGCAGTCTGCATTTTCGAGGGAGAAAACAGGAAATAAATATGGTAAAAAACATAATTTCAGATAGCCATAAAGTCTATGAAGGAAATATGAAAGGAGGTATGTTAGTGAATAGAAGGAGCTATTTTTGTATACGGTGAGGCCAGGATGTCTCTGCTGGGTGACATTACATGTTAATTAAATGATGAGAAGAAACTGTCCAAGCAAAGAATCAAGGGGATAGAAACCAAGGTCCTAAGATGAGAAGAAGTGTGCCTCGGGGTGATTTAGAAAGCAGCCAGTGTGACTAGAGCGTGCTGAGAAGGGGAACAGACTGATGACATCAGGGAGTGGAGGGGCCAGGCACTGCAGGCCATGGCGAGGATTTCAGATCTGGCAAAGTCAATACATTGTTTAATTTTCGACTAGCTTGCTTTGAAAAATACCAAGAATGCTTCCTCTCTGTAGAGTACTTGGTCCCAAACTCCTATAATAGTGAATATAGAGGGATATAGAATCCAGAAAAACCACACAATTACTCTGAATGAAAAAGTGAATGAGTGATAGACAACTTAAAAACTACTGCATTGACAACACAATCAAGAGTTAGAGTTGTTTTTTGGTTTCTTCCTTCCTCAGAACTGGAAGGAATAGGTTATCATCAGCCTTATACAACTGAGGAAAGCGAGGTTTAGAAGCCATATGCACAAAAGTCCTAGCGTGCAGCCCCTCCAAACATTTCCACATAGCTCAGTCTACCTACTACTCTTGGAAACTAGTGAACAGTAAACCGGAAGAATGTTGCTTCTGTATAGACTAGATGTATTTTCATTCCCATTTTTAACTAAAACAGCATAACCTTTTTCTATCAAAATTCTCTCCAACTACAGAGGTTTTACCTGTAGGATAGGAAAGCACTAAATAAAAATGTCTCATTTCCCAGAGCATGCTTTATAGTGTTACCACTTCCTGTCCCCCCAGCCCCCACCACCTCCCAAGCACCTATATCTGTCTCTATCCATTTTTCAGTGTATAGGTTTGTGTTAACATGACTGTTTTATTTTCACAACCAAAAGACATTAGGATCATAAAAAAAGCAAATGACTAACTATAGTATTTGAAAGTTGTTTTACATTTAGAATCATTTCACGGAGACTCTGAACTAAAAATTATCTGCTGAAACTGCTGAGTAGGCTCTCACTGCAGTCTTTGTTGCAGAACAAGGTTACAATAGAGCTTGTATTTTGCTCCAGAGGAGAAAAGAAATCTTTGACACATGTTAGACTAAAGCATTCTGGTACATCTCCGGGACCATCATAGAGAGCAGAGCTCTGCATGTAGAGGAGGGGTGACCTATGAGCTTCTTAAGGTTATTGGAAAGATTTTGTGTCCATACATATTTCCTCAAAGGAATCTGAGACCCACATGATGGTTAAAAACAGCTGCTTGCTGTTTCAGAATGCAGCCATTATGATTCAGCTTCCTGTGATTTAGATGTTTTCATATCTGACACTAAGAAAGTTGCATATATACATGAGGTACCTGGTCCACACTCCTCAAACTCAAAACATTCCTCCTCAGAGAGAGCTCATTAATGTCACCCACCTTTTCCAGGTAGTGGGCCTGGTCTTCTGCTTATTTTATGAGCCCTCTTTTTGGAAACTATATTAATTCTTATTCCAGAATTCACTGTGCTTCTCTTACCAAAAGAGGGAAGGGATTTCTGCAAGGCACATTTGTAGGGCTACACCAGGGTGGCAACTCCCAGGCACTCCGAGGAATGGCAAGTAGCCAGGTTTGTAAATTTAGGAAACCCCACCTGAGTCTTTCACCCACTACTGCCCAAGTAAAAGACCTGTATGGCACTTGGTCAAGAAAAGCAACTATTTCCCAGGTTGGAGCCATGGTAATCATCTCATCCCCTATTTGGCATTTTACACTTCCATGTGGCATCCTTGACATCATAAATTTTTGGGGGGTGGGAAAATGACCTACATCATTTTTCTTTTGGCTTAATGAGTTTGACTTTTATTAATCACAATTATCATTATACATACACAGAAACTGGTGCTCAATAAATACTT